AGATCATATTGTTAAACTATAATGTTTATTTCACCTAAAAAACCTAATTATTTGAAAACTTGTTAAAATTTGAATAAGCGATTGTGATTTTAAAAAGATTAAAAAAAAAAAAAAAGAATCTTTGGTATGGGTTTATCGCTATAAACATTTATACTTTAAGATACCGCAAAATTTATAAATTTTATTTTTTTCGTCTTTTCATAATTAACAGACCTAATCATTTAACGGAAATGTGTCGTAGTCAACAAAATATCATACAGATGTCGTAGTCAACAAAATATCATACAGATATTTTAAAATTGCCCTAACTACACCGAATACTCAAGCGCTGGCAGGATTAGAACTTGTATCGTTTTACACTTCGGGTTTTAGCTTATCGTTTGACGTTCTAACCAACTGAGCTATCCAGCCATTCTCAGTACTACATTTTAGCTTAACTTTTTTAGTTTTACATTTAAGCCTACTTTTTTCATCCTTTTATTTTAAAAAGCAACTAGTTCCAATGTTTGTTACTCGAAAAGAAAAATGTTGAATCAAACAAATTTATTTTGTGACGTGTTTAACTTCCTTAATAGGAAAAATCTAAACACACTACTTCTTACCCATTCTTAAAAGTGATAAAAACAATGCGGATCCCTACTCCATATTAATCAAAGACACTTTCAAAGTGGAGTGGACATATAATAAAGCTAAACCATCTATGAACTGAAACAAAAGTTGTAGTTTATATCTTGAATAAGATTTGTAAACTCGCATGCTAATTAAATTTTGCTAACATCAAGAAACAATAAAACATTGGTGAGTTTTGTTTAAAAGCAGGCTCATACGGAAGTGGTGGAGGAACTTGTGTAATACTATGGGTATTAGGTATATTTTATTAACTATTTTCGTCCAGAAAAGAAATTCGCACTAGCAAAAATAGTTCAAATCATTTGAACTATTTTTATCATAAAAAACTTTGTTAATAAAGCAGAAATTCTGAAATAAAAATCCAAATTTTATTGAGATACAGCAATAGAACAAAAACTTTGTACAATTGAGGAAATTGTAATGCATTTGTTAATCTATACCCCAAGTTACTCTATAATGCCATAACGTTTTTATATCTGCATTAAAAAGTTAATCCTCATCACTTCGATAGATAAGTTCTCCGCCCATTTAAATAAACATGCATAAGAGTTTCTAAAAATGTGACTATAGGTTTTAAATGTCAACATATTTCTTTGAACTAATAATAATAAAACAATATTGATAAATAAGATTGATATTTAATAAGATTATTAGAAATATAAATAAATTTAAATAAATAAGCGTAGCATAAAATTTAAAATTCAAATTAATACGAATCATTTTCACGGATGAGTTCAAAATTCATTAGTATGGTAAATATGAATCATTTTCACGGTTGAATTCAAAAATTCGGCGTTTTTTTTTGTTATTTAAAAAAATTCATCGTAAATATGTCGTCTTATTGTTTAACATGCAATTAGCACAAGGTTCTACGCTCAAATACGAATAACTTAAAGAAATGAATATACAATAATCAAGTAAATATTGCTTTAATGCAGGAAGTATCTACATTTCACAAATATAAGTAACAAAGTAAACAAAATTTCTTTTCAACTCTTTTTTAGGTAGGATATTGCATGTATTTTATAACAGCTTTTTGCTTTTAAAGTAGACCTAATATTTATAGTGTCGAGACATTGCTTAATAAGTAAAAACTTATATACATCTGTATATAATCACATCATTGTCGTAAATTTAGATAGGGGACTTCTATGAGTGAAGAAGTAGTTTTAGACCTTAATCCTTGCATTGGCGGTAAATTTAACAAAATATTAAACTTTTCCGCAAATATTTTTTAGCACTATTTAAATGTTTTGACAAAGGCGTCCACTATTAAACCAACTTTTTGTAGATTCTTATGTCAATTTATACTTTTTTTTTTTTTAATAGCTTATTTCTTGGCTTATTTTTAAAAAAAAAAACTAATACTACCATATGGTAATAATATTTAAAAAATATTCTTTATAATTTTCTTGAGTAACTTTTTGTTACTTTGAGTGTTAAAGAATTTGCTTTTTTATTATGAACCTAATATATGTATACAATGTAAATACTTAGTAATATATTTATACAATATTACTAAGCATTTATATTGTAATGCAAGTAATGCAATGTGAATTACAAAAATCAAGTTTCATTTAGAAGAAAAATGCTTTTTAAATTTGGTTCAGATTGTTATGTAAAATCTTACCACTGTATTAGCAAATGCATTAATCAGAATAGTTCCTAATTTGCAAAAACTAAAACCCTCAAACATGTTTGAAAAGTTCATTTTTTATGCTATCTTTTATTATATCTTTGTTGCGATAACTTAAATCTTTATAAAAAATTTATCAAACATTATGACGAGTAACATTTTTTATTGTTCGCTTTTTTTATCTTGTCGGCTTGTTTGTTAGTGAATTCAATTGTTGATATGTCTCCGGAGCAGCATGGTGTAGATATTTGTATTTCAAACAAAACTTTACGAGTTCTTACAAGAGAAATTTTGTAATTGGTTCATTTATATCACATGAAAAACTTGATCAGTGTTTAGTGGATGCTATCCAATAGAAAAAAGAAGCGGAAAAATAGTACAAAATAGTTTGTTTATTATGACGTTACGCTATAATAAAAACGATTAATAACATAAATACGACAATAATCTGTTAAACATTTGTATTTGTTGATATTTATTGGTGTCATTTTTTTAATTCTGCAATTTCTAACATAAGTTTTTTTAGGCTTTATTGAGATTAATTTATTAACCAAGTCAAACTATTCAAATGTAAGTTGAATTTGCAAACTTTTAAATGTTTTTGTTAATGAATAGGTAATGTAAAATATCATAAAAAGTTAAAAAATTAAATTATCTTTATATTACTCTCATTATATTGAACGCTGAATAAATAGAGTAATAAACTTTTTATCTTACAGGTTAATACCATGCAACAGTTCATTTACTGAGTATTACTTTTAAGCGGTATTTGTGAAGTTAAAATTTTTAAAAAGTTATGATAAGCTAAAAATAGTACCTTTGATGTTTTTAAATGATTTTATTGCCGATTAAAGCAACCACAACAACTTAAGCCTTAAAATAATTTGTTTGATCATTTAGTGATCTCTATCGTTTCAAAGATTAATATTTTCAGATGGCAGTAAAGATTTTATTGTTGCACTTTTAAACTTTCAACAAATTTATTATTTCAAATTAATCTTTTTTATTTTGATGAAAAGTGACATTTAGTTTTAAAACGTTTTAAACTAATATGTAAAACTAATATATCAAAATTCAAACCTATTAATTTTATATTTAATTTTATAAATAATTACTATTTTTAATTAAAACTTAATTTAATTAATTAATTAACTTAATATTAATTAATTTGTCTTAATAAATTAAAATAATTTCATTTATATTAAACTATTTTAACTTATTTTTAACTTATTTTATCATTTTGCTTTATTATTATCATTTATATATAATTTATTGCTAATTCATATTTAAAAAGTATTTATATATTTATTGTACTTATTAAAATATCGGTCTTTTAAATGTCAGGTACATACTTTAAACTTATTTTTTAATTTTTTGACTTTTATGACAATACCCAACTCCACAAAAAAAATTTATCTGTTATTCGTTTCGTTATTATGTTATCCATTACTTTATCTGTTATTCGTTTCGTTATTATATTATCCATTACTTTATCAATTAACTATTTGAGAAATTAATTTTATGATAAATTTTTAAAACAAATCTTTGTAAAACATTTTTTTAAAGAAATTATATGTTTTTAACAAAATTATAGTGTTAACGCAATTCGAAGCTTTTTCGGAAAATTTAGCTCAAACCCGCTGCTTTATCGACATCCAAAAAACATTTAACGTAAGGAAAAACAGTGCTGCTGTGCTATGAACTAAACTGATCCAACGTCATTAATGAACCCGTTCAGTTGCTAAGTACCAATTAACAACTCTTAGTATCTCATTTTGATTGTATTAAAAGAAAATTGTACTCTTGTATGAACAATGAAATAGTTTCTTTTCGGATTTAAAATCAATGAAGCTTATTTCCTTAAGTTTTAATCTTTAATTTACATATTATTATTAGAAATAAATCTAAATTTTCAAAGAACTTAAATAAACGAACTTCTACCTTTAGGATTAAAAAGAAAAAAACAATATATATGCATATATGCTTGTGTATTTGTGTGTCAGATTTACACTTGTTTAATTTGCCAAGTGTGAACTTCCTATCAACTGAAATAAGTTTCCTCCCATTTTCTCTCTTAATACTTGTATTTTATTTGAATTTATTAAGTCAAAATGATTTTAAAATTGTATTTTTTTTATTGTTATTATCATTATTATTATTACTACTATAAAAATAACTATAATAATAATTAATAATAATAATAATAACAATATGGTCGTTTTTTTTTTCTTTGTTAAAATCGTTCTTTATTATTAAAGGAAGTTAACTTTAGTTTGAAAGAAAAAACAATAGATTTCGTTTTGTAATTTCCGTTTCCGTTAAGCTTTTTAAGAATTTTGAGCCTTTTCTAGAAATTCCGTTAAATTTTATAAAGAATTATATAACTATTTAATCAATAGATTGCTCATTTTAGTCTAAAAATCTCAATTACACGACGGGCGGATCAGAATACATCGGACGGAAACGTTCTTTTGAAACTTGTTTAGAGTCTCTAAAAATTTCTAAATGCGAATTTTTCTGCTACTATACGACTATAAATTAGGAGAAAAGTAAAAAAAGTGCGGCAAATAACTAGTAAATGCGCTAAACTAATAACGACACAGTTATACACAATGAGCTTGTTCAAACAAGACTGTAAATTGGATAACTAAATAAATTAACTTGCTCAGCAGTATTCGTTATGATAACATACTTAAGTGATTTCATTGAATTTCTTTTTTTTATAAAATGAGTATACCATTTCGATCTTCTTAAATGAATGAGTTGTTGACATTTTTAAAGATGGAGCCAAATATTCAAGATATATGTCAAAATAAAATTTATATATTAGTTAGCTGTGTACTCTTTAAAAGATGTAACTAATAATGTTAATCGCGTCTGAACGTCATATTTAAGACTGCACAAATACTTGCTATTTGTTGTAAATACTTAAAATGTAATATTCTGCTAACAATAAACTATTAACAATAATAAAATTTATTTCGATAATAAATTGATGTCAGTAATTAATTATTATCAATGCTTAATTTTTAAATATTATTTAAAAATACATTTATAGATGAACTCAGAGACCTCTTTATATATGATGACCAACAATGTTGCTCAAAATACCGCAAAGTCTTTAATTGAATTAAACTGCATTGGATGTAATAACCGTCTTACAGAATTGAAAAGACAATCGTTAAGATACATGCTAGTAGAATATCGTAAAATAGTCAATGGCAAAGGAAAACTATCAGTAAGTTGTAACGCCTTTGTCTTTATATATATATATATATATAAAACAATAGGAAACTAAGTTTTAACGATATATACATATATATATATATATATATATATATATATATATATATATATATATATATATATATATATATATATATATATATGTATATATATATATATATATATATATATATATATATATATATATATATATATATATATATATATGTGTATATATATATATATATATATATATATATATATATATATATATATATATATATATATATATATATATATATATATATATATATATATATATATATATATATATATATATATATATATATATATATATATATATATATATATATAAAACAATAGGAAAATACGTTTTAACGAAATATATAACATTAATAAGATTTAACAGCTCGAAGTATATAAGAATTAATAAATTATCTATACAAACACAATTTTAATTACATATATAATACAAAATAGTAATAATTTGTAAAGATACAAATCAGTGAAGGATCCACGGGGGAAGGGTGTGCATTTCTACCCCCCTCCCCCACCACAAGAATCTGAAAGTACTAAAATATCTTTGAAATAGAGGACATTTTTTTATTATTAGTTAAAGCAAATGTGATCGAAAATAAACAAAAAATTCCTGGATTCGTCACTAATATACACATGTGGTATAAATCTAATCTTACAAAACAATTTATAAGATTTCTGTACTACTGTTACTTTTTACTACCACAAACTACGTACACTGGCTCGCTTTGTTACCACCACAAACAACATACGTTGGCTCGCTTTGTTACTACCACAAAATCACTTTTTTACTACAAACTACGTATGCTGACTCGCTTTGTTACTTAGTACATAATAATAGTAAGTACTCTATGTACTTACTATAAATAAATCAGAAGTTATCAATAAATCAACAAATTGAATCAAAACCAGTTGAATTTTTAATTTCAAAAAATAAATTTCTTTAGAAAAATAGTCAAGTTCGCAAATATCATAATAACAAATACCCCAATGGTAACACAATCAGGCATTAAAAATCGCTTTAATAAAAGATCTCTACATGCTTCATCGAGCAAAATAGTCTTTTTAAAACCTGATAACTTGATTTTGCCTTTATGATTCAAAATAAAATTTTGTACATAGTTTGCTACGCGTATTTTATCCTGCTTGACCGTGGGAATTTTTGTTATTCAAATTATTTCAAAAAATATTGCATTTTTAACAAAGTCACTACACATTTATATAAAATATCAATAATTTTAACACTTTAAACTACAATATTTCATCTTTTATAGCTTTGCATTAAAAATCTGAGGTTCAAAATAAGTAAACTGTATTAAACAAGTTCTGAAAATTATATAACTAGGCAGAGTTCGGTTAATAAGAAAAAGTGTTCCAAAGTTTCAAAAAAGACATATCGCTAAAAAAGCATAAATAAGAAGAAAAATTTAAAAAAGAACATAAAAATTATCAAAATCCACCTGGAATGTAACTATTACTTGTGTCTTTTACTTGTGAACCATCCATGAAACCTTTTTCAAATGCTCTCAGTTTTTTTCTTTGTATTTTAATTTTAACCGTTGACTTAGACTTCATACGTAGAATCCTGGTTTTGTCAATTTTACATGATGAAGCTAATGTTACATTTAGGTAAAAGTACTTTAAAACTTCTAGTATATCATTAGCACCATCATTATAATGTAGAACTATGGAGTGTGTTCCCATTTCGATTGTAGACTTACTAACAAATGTGTGCTTTGGTACGCAAGACCATATAATTGATTTTAAAACTTCATTGGCATGTTGTGTTGTACCATGCAAACATTCTATTAGAAGATCATCGGCTTGAAGATCTTTGATGATTGAAAAAAGAAGATTCTTAATCCAGATTGGTTTACGCGACTTTGGTTTGTAATTTTTAAGATTGAGAGCCCAATATTTGCCCCAACTTTTCAATTCTCTTGGGCAAAACTGATGCAGAAATGCGAATTGCATGTTTTAAAAATTGGTGAAATGAAATAATTAGTATAAACTGCTTTTTTCATAGCACACAAGTTGTTGACATTTTGATGAATAGCCATGCCAAAATAATTTTGCATAGAATTTATACATTTTTCTATTAAGAAGTTTTAGTGTTCACATTTTAACTGCAATAAATGTGCACCCTTTTTTACTGAAATCAACATCTGATAAAGTTAATGACTGAAAGCAGTTATTGCATGCAGTTTCAGTTATCATTTCTTTGAGAAAGCAGTTATTGCATGCAGTTTCAGTTATCATTTCTTTGAGAAAGCAGTTATTGCATGCAGTTTCAGTTATCATTTCTTTGAGAAAGCAGTTATTGCATGCAGTTTCAGTTATTTCTTTGAGAATTGAAAAGTTAATAAATAAAAAAAATCTTTTTCAGAGTATTCGAATAATTTAATTTTTCTTTCACTAGAACAGCTATTAGCTGTTTTACTTGTGCAAGATGATGAAATGCTACATTTTTTATTTGTAGCAACATTGTTCCATTTTCGTTTTATTCTTCTTGATAAATTTCTTTTACGTGTATGCCCTAGTTTATTCATTTAAAAACAATTTTACTTCAACTAAATTAAAATCAATTTTCATATAATTTCATATAAAATGAGTAAAAAGCTTCAACATAATCAACATTACCAGTCAAAAAACACTCCTGTTCTTAAATTAAGTTTTGAAGTATAACTTTTAAAACTGAACAAGAGTCTGCATATAACACATTAAAATCAAGTTTGAGATGGTATTTTTCTGTTTTGAATTCATAAAAACTCAAATGTTTGGTGGTTGCTAAGGCGTTGTTAGATAATTTTTTAAAATCGCTATTTACTAAAATGCTGTTAGATTAACTTTTATATTATTTTTGAGACTAATTTTTTTATTATATGTTGGAGGAATGATTATAGAATCAAAACACCAAAAAAGTCCTAAAATTGATTTTTTTCAAAAAACTTACTTTTTTTTGGTTGTGTGCCATCTTAAATTAAGATGTGATTCAGAAAAAGATTTAATTACAAAAAAAAAAAAAACGTAAAAATTTTCACAAATAGACATGTAGAATTTTTTTTCAAAGAAACATTTTGAACCGCTGGTCCTAAGCAATAGTTTTGTCATAACTTGTGTGATAATTTATTGAACGTGATAGTGACATTTGTGAACCTAGCAAAGGTTGCTCTCATTTAGTACGCATGCCATACGACACATGTTTATTTTTTTATTATCCATTATAAAAACTATTCGTTATCAATAAGAAAACCCATTTTCGGAGAAAAATGTTAATTTTATTTTTCAATTTTCGGAGAAATATGTTTTTTTTGTTTGTTAGTTTCTTTGAAATTTCTAACTATTTTATTTATAAATTAACAACCGTTCCAATTAGTTTGCATATTTCGCAAAATGGCTCGGAAAAACTAATTTTTTGTTTATTTGAATTTTAACCCTTTTTTTTTTAATTATAAAAATATGTAAAATATACTAATTTGACTGATTTAAACCAATTCATTATTAAACGCTTTTATGAATTATTTTGCGCTAACAAAAAAATTAAATGACTTTTTTCTATGAACTTAAAATTCAAAAGATATTAGATACATGAAATTTGTTTTGTATTATAGGATCTATCTAACTTTGCACTAACTAAAAACTAAAAGAAAATAAAGTTGGCAATATTTATTTTATTGTTTCAAATATAAAATTGGATTTTATCTAAAAGAATAAATACAAAAGCATACTGCAAAAAGGTTTTTTTTTCACTAAACAACTAATTAATGCCTGGATTAAAAAGTATAGTTATAACTTAGTTCATAGTATAAAGCAAAAAGCAATTTTCTTCAAAAAATGTTAAAACAAAGTTCCCTGCTGCATGTTTGAGTGGGCTTTTTTTGCTTTAATCTTTACAGCCCACCTAGATTTTAACCCTGTTTAAAATCTGTCATAAAATATCATAGTCTGGTAAAATATAAACTTGGAAATTAATAAAAAAAATTTGAAATATGCAAAAAAAAGTTGTTATTTTTACATAATAAACACTGTGGTTTACACTTTATAGTTAACCACAACTATAGAACTAAATATGTAAGTCAACTTATTATCCTTATATTGTTCAATTATCAAAATTTTCTCATCTTTTTAGTTGGATAACTTGCTACCTCTAGTATACAAAAATTTTCGACTTGAATATGATCTTTTATCAGGAACATCAAATGGAATATGCATTGATTGTGGTTTACATGTTGAGTTTTTAAAGAAACAAGCGTTAAAATTTTTGGGCTCAACAAATATTCCATCTAATGTAAGTAAATGCCACAAAGAAGAAAAGCAAGTATCTTTAACCAATAATGTACCAAATGAATCAGAAAGTAAAAGTAAAAACACAGGTAATAGTGCATGTTTGTTGCACGTTTGTTGCATGCTTTTTAAAAAATTCAAATTGTTTATATTTATCACCAGCATGATTGCAACTCATGATTACAACTTCTCATATGATTACAACTTCTCATGGTCGTAAAAGTTGCAAATTCATTTAGAAATTTTTACTAGATAATACAAGCGGTGATTTAAAGTTGAACTTATCTCGATCTACTGCATCTCCATCTGCTGCACATTTTTTTACTGAGTTAGTAAATTTTACTTTTTAAGTTTTCTTTATAAAATTTTTGAAGTATACTGATTTTTATGTTTTTTAAAAAACTTTTTAATAATAGTATTATTAAAAATTTTCGAATATTAATTTTTTAATAATTTTTAAATTTTTGAATACATTTGAATATTTATGGTAATCTTTATTTAATACATATTTTGTTTATATTTAGAGCTGCAAAGATGTTTAACATTCCTAATAAACAAAACAGAAAAGTTTCAAATAAAAGTTCAGAATCTAAAGATGTCACATTTCTGACAAATTTTCAAGGTATAATCAAAAACATGCCACCTGATAATCCACCAGGTCTATTTAAGTACATAGGAAGGAGAGTAGATGGAAAGGTAAGGATAGCACATTCAAAAAGTTATGGTAATTGTACAAAATTTTTTTAAAAATAAAATGTTTCTAAAAAAAAAAAAATGTTGAAAGTTTTTTTTGAGAATAAATTTTTCTAAAAGTATTTAAAATATAATAAATATTAAAAAGTTAGATATGGAATATTTGAAATGTAAGTTAACATTATGTTTTTGTAGGTTATTGTTAGGCTTTTGTAAATTAACATTATATTTTTGTTGGTTAATGTCATGATTTTGTATGTTGATGTTATACTATTATAGGTAAATGTTAGACATTTGTGAGTTAACATTATGCTTTTGTAGGTTAATGTTATGGTATTGTAGGTTAATGTTTGACTTGTAATGATTTTATATTGTTTTTTATTTATTATGTTAACATCATGCTTTTGAAGGTTAACATTATGTTTTTGTAATGTAATGTTATACTTTTGTAGGTTAATGTTATGCTTCGAATTCATTCAGAAGACCTTTGTGATTCAATTATACAAGTAGATCAAAGAAAAAAACATATTTCAATTAAGCAACCAACTCAGTTGTCTGGTATACCTCAACATTTGCAACTTACTAATGCATCTCCAAAATTATATGCCTTTGATGCTATTTTTGAACATAATTTATCTCAGGTAATATTTTGTAATTTTAGTAAGATACAGGTAAAATAATAAATAATAAGATATAAGAAAAAATTTCCCCTCAGTCAACAAAAAAACTAAATAAAAAATAAAACCTAAAATTAAAAGAGCTAAACAAAAAAATCCTAGATTGAAAAGTCTCTGACGTTTTACAAATTTTTAAAGTTTTAAACTTTTACACACCTAATTGTTTAGAATCTACCTTTGCTGAAATTATTTTTTTAAAAGGTCTAATATTATTATCGGTTGCATTTATAAACACCCTTACATGGATATTGATGTTTTTAATTATAAAAATACCAAAAGTTTTTTACGCTAGTTTATAAATGCATCAATAGTTTTCTTACAATAAATGTAATGAAGAATAACCGATGAAGATAAAATAACAATCGTTAATAAAAATAACCTTTTTTATAATTATATATTTATCAAATATGAAAATATGATTTTATTCCAAGTGAAAACACACACTTCAAAAAACTTGTTTAAGACATAAATAAAACTTTTTTTTTATAATAATGGACGACTCATAATATTGGCGGCGACCAAGATTAGCTAAATTATTACTCTCACACTTAATTATACTTTTATCTGTAATAGTACGCTAGATCAAGAAACAATAAATTTATGTGCATATATACAATTAAAGTTTTATGACAATAATTTGTTAATTGGGACAATACTGTTCATTTACTTTGTTTTATTTATATAGGCTCTTTATTTTATCAAAACTTTGCAGTTTCTTTTTTTTGTTGTTTTATAGTTTTTTACAATAACAATTCAATACTCTTTAAAAATAACTCATGTTTTATTATTGGCATAAACATATTGACTAGTTTTCTGTAACTAATTAAAGTGGTTTAAAAACATGTTTAAATACACTGAGGTAAAATAATATCTGTCCAACAACATCTGAAATTTCATTGATGTCTTATAACATCAGTGTACAAAGTATATGATTACTACAGATGTAGTTACTTCTTTTCAATTATCTAAGTATAACAACATCTGCAAAACTACATTTGTATAATTACATCTATGAATTCTACATATGTAGTTTCATCTTTTCAATTATATTAAGAATAACTACATCTGTACAACTACTGCTGTGAATTCTACAGATGTAGTTACATCTTTTCAGTTATGTTGAATTTTTTTTCTTTCACTAATGGATTTTTTTTGGCATTAACTCGAGTCCTAAATAGTGTTCTGGTAATATTTCAATTTTAATATTATTTATTTAAAATTTAGTAAATACTTTTGAAAAGAATAAAAGTATTTTTACAAAAAATTCAATAGAAATTAAAAAGTTAAGAGACCTACCAAGCAAATCATTCAAGCATCTTCAGCAAATGTTGCAAACATTCAAACACATTCTATGAATGTTCTGTAAAAAACAAACACATCACTATTTAAAAGATAAAAACTATGGCAAAAGAAAGGAAAAAGTGTAATTGATATTGGATTGATTTTTATTTTGAAATGTTAAATATAGAAAAGCATGTGAATACTTTTCATTTTTTTAAATTAAAATTACAAACAGACTGGGTTCATAAAATTAAAAAACTATAACTATATATTTTATTTTTATTTAACAGAGTAAAGTTTCTGCAACTGCTCTTTTGGATGTTTTACATGCTGTTATCAATGGAGGTGATGGGTGTTTGATATCTTATGGAGCTGCAAATGTTGGGAAGACAAAAACAATGATTGGCATAGACACAGATAATCTAAATTTAGGAATTATTCCGTGTGCAATTACATGGTTGTATAATTTAATTGAAGATAGCAAACAAAGAGTTGGATCAAGAATTTCTGTTAGAATATCTGCTGTAGAAGTTGTTGGAAAGTCTGAAGTTTTAAAAGATTTATTAGCTGAGCAGTGTTCTGGTGAATAAACTTTTAGATGTTTACATAAAGGGTTATAGTTGCTATTATAATTATAACTATATTATTTTATTGTATGCATTATGTATATATATATATATATATATATATATATATATATATATATATATATATATATATATATATATATATGTATGTATATATATATATATGTATATATATATATGTATATATATATATATGTATATATATATATATGTATATATATATATATATATATATATATATATATATATATATATATATATATATATATATATATATATATATATATATATATATATATATGTTGGGCCTATTCTAGGAAAAAAATTTGGGCGGCAGTACCCCCTCATTTCGGCAGACTTTAGCGGAATATCGGAGTTATTTTCGCAAAAAAACAATATTTGGCATAAAAACATAAACAAAAAAGTAAAAAAAAAAAAAGAAAGTCCTCAAATTTTAGTTTGGGCAGCGCCCAAATACGGTCGACGCTGTCGAAAACAGTACCGGTCGACACTGTCGAAAACAATAGCTCCTGATATATATATTTATATATATATATATATATATATATCCTTATAGTGTAGTCGAAAGTGACTTTTATGGTAAAAAAAGTCTCTTTCGACTACAATTTTTTTACCTTGTCTCTTAAGCTGCATTTTATTGTTGTCAAAATGTCAAAGCAATTAAATAAATGCGGAAGTACACTAAATTTTATTGTTTTTTTAAAAAACTGCAATAATAATGACTAGAAAGTTTTTTTTAATTAGTGGTGTTTTTGTTTTTGTTTTATTAAAAAACATTTTTAAAACATACGTAAGTGTTGCTACATCGACTTTCTTATTGCCTGCTGCTACAAGGGAGTGTTGCTACATCGACTATCTTATAGCCTGACTCGCAACGAAGTGCTGCTACATCGACTGACAAATAGCCTGACTAATATGCTTGCATTACATAGACATATTCATATAGAGATAACATATATTTGTTACATTAAAATTATACAAATATATTTTACAAACAGATAGCAGTTCATATTTTTGCTTTTCTTTCAAAAAAACAACAACAAATAAAATAAAGGGATATCATTCTTTTTAATGTCGACTTTTTTTTTTGCTTTGTCTTATCCAATTTTGTTGCTAAAAATAACAACCACTCTAGAGAAACAAAAATAAAAATAGTACACAAGTTGTTTAAGTTATTATTATTATTATTATTATTATTTTTTCTATTTAATTTTATTTTAATTTCCTATTTTGTTAGTTTTTTCTTTCTTTGATTTTGAAACTTAGTTTTTTCTGCAATACTTCATATAAAAAAACTTGCATATGGCCATACTAAGTTATTTAAAATAAAATACTCATGTGTGAACATACAAGATGAAAAACCTCACTATAATTATAATTTTAATAGATTGCATTGTAATTAGATTGCATTATGGTATAGTGTTGCTTTATTATCAGCAAAATATCCTTTTATAACCAACATATTACAATATGTATATATATCAGGGATGCGGAGTCCCAAAAAAGACTCCAGATAGTCACAAAAAAATTGCTTCTTCATAGTTTTTGGTATCCAGGAGCTCTAAAAATATAAAAAAGTTTATGGACTACTTATAGAAAAAAAAATAAGACTTTTAGGTAAGAGGAACAATCACTTTTTGAACCCAGAGTCCTTAAGTATAATGGCAGCAAGGACTCCAGGACTCCAGGACTCCGGGCTTAAAAACAATAAGTTCCAAGTCATTAAATCACATAAATTTTTTTCTTATAGCAGATCATAAGTCAACAAACATATTTAGAGTTTTTGGACACTACAGACCTAGAAAAAATAGAGATATAAAGCCGGAGTCTTTTTGGGACTCCGGCTTTATATCTCTATTTTTTCTAGGTCTGTAGTGATATATATATCTATATATATATATATATATCTTATTTTCCCTGATATATATATATATATTTGCATGGTCGTCTTTAAATTTGTACCATAAAATGTCAGTTTTAGGTTGTTTTTTAATTTTAAAAACTAAAAAAACTTTTTTTACTTTTTTTAATTATTTCTGCCCCAATCATACCCTCTGCCTGCCCCAATACTGTCTACCCCAATCATACCCTCAGTCGATGTAGCAGCACTATGTTGCAAGTCATGCTATTTGTCAGTCGATGTAGCAGCACTATGTTGCAAGTCATGCTATTTGTCAGTCAATGTAGCAGTACTCTGTTCTAATCAGGATATAAGATAGTCAATGTAGCAACAGTCTGGACATTTTTTACAGTTAAAAAATAAAAACAAAAACATTCAGAGTTTTTAAGTAACTACAAGTTTTCTTGTAATATTACAAAGATAAAAACGATAGGATGTTTGCAGTGACAATACTTACAACAAGAAATGTTGTTAAAAGTTTAATTTTAGTAAGTTTCTTGGAAGTACCGCTTTTAGATCAAGAATAACTCTTAAAATTAACACCGATGCTAAAACTATAATGAAACTGAATAATTTGAGTACTGATATTTATGAATCTCTGCTCACATGCAAGATTGGTAAAAAAGAATAAGGCTGCAAGCAGATATTGTAAATGCTAAGTTAGTAAGTTAGTTATTACTAATAAAAACATTCTAGTCTTTTAATTTGCGTTTTTGTGGTTTAATTACTTCCCGCAATTAAATTGTCATTTCTCCTATATTAATTAAGAGGTTCTCACATTTAGAGCTATTTATCTCTCTCTTGTATCTAATAAAATTCTATTTTTAATATTTTTTTGGAACATTATTGTTAGGTTTCCTTATTTCTAGATTGTCTTTATTCTTTGAATTTTATTTTTTTTTTTTTTTTTTTACATTAAATCAAAAAAAAAATGTATTAAAAAAAATTATTATCATTATTTCAAACTTTATTAGTTTTTCTGAACAGATGCAATCAATTTATAATGCTCAAATATTTTAATGTTTATACAAACTTTTAATGTTTATTCAAACTTTTAATGTTTATTCAAAATTTTAATGCTTATACAAACTTTTAATGTTTATACAAACTTTTAATGTTTATTCTCTTAAAACTTTTAAAATTTTTGAGTTTTTAGCTTTTAGTTTTATTTAATTTTTCTCTTATTTTTTTTTCAGTTGTAGTTTTATAATTGTGATCTTGTTTTAGGATGTGATAGTACTGATAGTAGTGGGGGATCCCCTGGAATATATCTATGTGAGGATCCAATTGGTGGAACAGTACAATTAGGCAATGTTAGTGAACCTCAAGCTGTTAATGCTGAGAAAGCTGCATTTCTATTGGATGCTGCACTCGAAGCACGTACTAAAAATGCTGTTGAAGGTGGTGGTAATTTTAGCCATATGATTTTTACTATTCATGTTTACCAATATCGAGTGGATAAAGGCCTAAAATGTGGTCCTGGTGGTAAGACATTTAGATTTTAATTATTTTTTTTACTTATTTAAAAAGTGAAAAAAGTCTTACTTCTAATAAAATACTAATAAAAGTGTTTTAAAATTAGTTTAATTGCATTTAGTTGAAATAGAAGAAAATTATTTTTAAAGCAGATAAATTAAAATTTTTCCAATTTTACAAAAAAATTATTATTTGGCTGCTTTGCTATTAAAAAACAAAAAAAAAAAACACAAAATAAAAAGGCAAACAAACTAAAAAAAATATTAATCGGAAAAGTATTTTAAATGTTTGATTTAAATGCTTTATTAAAAAAGCAAATGAAAACTGCAAAATGTTTTATTATATTGAAGTTGTATTTTTAGAATTTCAAAATACAATAGCAAGATTTTCAACATACTTAACTTGAAACTGATTCATTTACATGATTTTATGCTTAATTTTTGTAAATGTTTCTATTTTCTAAATCAATTTCTATAGAAGTACTAGTAGAACCTCTTTAACTTCCATGTTGTTTGAATAAGCTTTTATAAGCTGTCAAAAATTGGTAAATTTTTTGACTTTTTATTAATTTTTTTGTTTTGTTTTAGATTCCAATTTTTAATTTTTTTGTTGTTTGCAGTTTTTAAAGTTGAAACCATTGAAAAAAATCAGCAATCTTAAAATTTTATTGTTTAAAGAAATAGCTATCATTTTAATATATTGGTCTAAGTTTTTTACGGGTCTAAGTTTTTATGGTAAAATAATGTTTCTCCTAAAGTTAAATAAGTTCTTTAAATAAAACATTCCTTCTATTGGTTTAAGAATTTCTTTAAGTAATTTTTTTAATTTCAAAGTTCCAATATAGTTTTATACATAATGGTTAGGGTTTTTAAATCCTAAAATCTGACAGTATTATTTAAAGTTAGTATTATTTAAAAAATAAAATTAATTGTTGTTATACAAAATATAATTGTTGTTATATAACTTAGTCTCAAGTTGTAAAATGATGTTTCTATTTAGGAGCTGTTTGTATGAATTGGACTAGACTAGTTAGCTTAGCTCATTTAAATGAGATCTTGCCATGTTTATTATTCAATTATAAAAATTAAACTTGTTTACATGACAAACCAGCTAGCCTGGATTACTGAGATTTCCCTTGATTTTAGTGGGTTCCCACTCAGGTGAGACGATTTATTTCTGTAAAAACACAAACAAGAGAGTCAGTCCTGCTCTTGAATGTAACTAATTGAATACAATAAATCAGGTCATTTCTTTTATCCATTCCCAATTGTTTTTAGAACCACCAATTAATTAAAAATAAAAATGTGTAGTTCAAATTTAAATTAAACTTATAATGTAAACATTTATCTTTTCAGTCAGCCTGATTAACCGGGCCAGCCAGATTCATATAAACAGCCTCTTAGAATCAATTTGAGGTAACTAAAAAACATTTTTTATTATTAACTTCTATTCATACAAGTTGTTAAACAAGTAAGCTATGAAACATACAAGTAATATGGTAAATAAGTAAGCTATGAAACAGTATTACTGTCCTAGTGATATTTATTGTTTTTGTTGCAGTAAGTTTCTTTCAGTTGTTTTATTCAAAAAATTATATAAATATGATTTGGAAAAACTTTTTCAATAAGAAAATCAGCAATCAATATATTTTAAAATTTTACATTTCATAGTTGTATACAAATAGTTCAATTACTAATAGACACCTAATTAAATACATTGGTTACAATTACATTAGTTACAATTACATTGGTTAAAAGCCATTACTAATAGACACCTAGTGATTAGATTGGTTAAAATTCATTACTAATAGACACCTAGTGATTAGATTGGTTAAAATCCATTACTAATAGACACCTAATGATTACATTGGTTAAATACCATTATTGATAGACACCTAATGATTGCATTGGTTAAAAATCATTACTAATAAACACCTATAATTACATTGGTTAAAAACCATTATTAATAGGTACCTAATGATTACATTGGTTAAAAATCATTATTAATAGGTACCTAATGTTTACATGGGTTAAAAACCCATTAATAATATAATTAAATTACAATTATAATTATTATAGTTAAAATTTTTTAGGTTCTGTTCCATATTCTGGAGGAAGATCACGCTTACACATGATTGATCTAAGTTCTATTAATTCAAATTTTGATACTGATACACATGGGGCTGCACCAAGTCATGCAGGGCTTGGTCAGATTATTGTTGCTATGTTAAATGGATTTAAGCAAGTTCCATACAGAGATAGTAAAATTACAAGATTGTTAAAAGATTCTATTGGAAGTCCAACTTGTCGCTCAACATTGGTTGCTCATATATCAGATCATGAAAAAAACTTTACTAAAACTTGTTACACGTTACAGCTGACTTCAAAAATAAGCAAATCTAGGCGGAAAAAAAATTTAGTAAGCATTTTAATCTAGACAGAAAAAATATTTAGTAAGCGTTTTAATAGTATATTCAGTTAATATTTGTTTTTATTTTATTTTTTAATTTTCAATTTCAATTTCAATTTTATTTTTTAATAAACCTCTATTACTTACACTTTTATATCTGTTATACAACAACAACAACAACAACAACAACAACAACAACAACAAACTATTTATTTTCCATAAATCATTTTTACAATAGTTTTGATAATAATGATAATAACAATAATAATAATAATAATAATAATAATAATAATAATAATAATAATAATAATAATAATAATAATAATAATAATAATAGTAATGATAACAATAATATAATATAATAATAAGTATGTTTACAATAACTACAATGAAAAAATAATAATAACTAATATTAATAAAATAATAAGTTAATGATTTATTAGAATGGTATCACTCATACAGAAATCTGATCAAAGGAGTGACATCAATTTTTAATATAATATAAGTAATAATAAGCAAAGACACACAATGAAACACATGGGCTATAATCACACAGACCAAAGCACATAAACTATACATAAAAACAAACATGTAGAAATCAATTTGCAGGTTTTAATAATAATAAGAATAGAAAAAATAAACAAAGAGTGCTGATGATAATTGTAGTAATTACGAAAAGAAAATTGAAAAAAATAACACATTTGCTCAAAAATATATTTTTTTTTGTACTAAAAAGTAGAAAATAAACTTTTTAATTTAAATTTAGTAGTTCAGTAAACTTTAGTTTACTGAACTATTAAATTTAATAGTTCAGTAAACTTTAGTTTACTGAACTATTAAATTTTTAAAAACATTTAAAACTAGCTTTTTTCTTAAAAATATACTGACAGTTTTAATTTATTATAATTCTATCTTTATTATAATTTATTTTATCTATCTAGTAAATATTTATCATAGAATTGCTGCACAAGTTCAGACCCAGGTTCATGTGAGGAATCAAATAGTAGATATCCCAATCCAGCTATGATTAAGACTTATGGCATAGATGACTCAACCTGTGTTAATTCAGATTACAATACTTCAAGTGCAGGTGAAGATTCTTGTGATACTGTCATTTATATGGGAAATGGTCACATAAGTGATAGAGATTTATCCGACAATGAGCACCCCCCATCTAGGTCGTCATATTTAGCAATGAAGTTAAAGTTACCCTCTAGCTCAGAAGATGAAAACATGGAATCAAATACAATGTTAACAAACCATTCAAAAGTTACCTGTCGGTCAATTCCAGAACAAACTAAAAAGACATCAGATATGAGAAGTGAAACTGAAACTCTGGGTAAATTAAATATAAAAATAGGTTGCCAACCGCGAGAGAATGTTGAAAAAGTGGTTAATGTTGTTGCACCATTAATTGTAAAAAACGAAAATAAATTATCTAATGATGAAGCAATTAAACTTTCATCATTTAAAGAAATACGTAAACAAGAAAAAAGAATAGCTAAACTTTTAAAGCACACATTTGATAATGAAGTTCCAACTCAAAGAAGCAATGGTTATAAATCTGATACGGAAAATAAAGTTGTAGATCTTAGATGTAAAATAGTTGATGGTTATATATCTGCCCCTGAAAACTATAAATACAAGCCTGTTCAAGTAGTAAAAGGTACTGTAAGGCAAAGTAAGGATATTTTTGTATCATCTAATTTAGAAAAAAATATATCATGTAAAATTGATAAGCCATGCGATTTTGTATCATGCAAAAATTTGAATGTTAGTAATGTTCTTAACAAACTTATTCCTGAAACGAACCTTGATGAGTTGCTTGATGATTTGCAAGAACAACAAAGTTCCATAAACAATTTAAAGGAATTGTCTGTTGATTCTCCAATTAAGGCAACTGAAACCTCTTTGCTTACTTCTTGTAGAACTTGTGAAAATGAAGTTATTGAAAAAAAAGAAAAACAATTTAAAATTTCTCATAACAAAAACAATGATATAAAAAATCAAACATATAAAATTGAAAATTTAGATCACATAATATCCATTTCAACTGTTCCTAATTTTAGTGTAACCAAAAAACCTTTAAGTAGTATTGCTTCTCCAAAATTTGATAGGAATAGAATGCTTAAAACTGTAAATACTTTTTCTAATGAAAATAATAATCAACAAAAGTTTCCACCAAAACATTTTTATGCTAGATCTTACTCGAAGGAAGACACAATTAGCTTGTCCTCAATTAATGATAGTGATGATAGTGATGTTGCTTCTTTGTGCTTAAGTCCTGCATCTAACAGGAAGCAACATCCTGCAAGACTAAGGTATCGCTGGTCAACTGTCTTTGAGGAAGAGGAGATAAAAAAACAAGATAAACAGTATATAAAAAATAATAATCAAGAAGTTATAGTTACTTTAGAAAGTGAACCTCGATCTGGTCAGTCACTTTTGCAGAAAAGTAATGCAGTTGTTACAGATCAAGCATCATCCTTTTTATTAACTAGTTCATTTTCTACTCCACTTTCAGAACAACATATTTTTAAAACTCCTAAATCAAGTAAAAAGTTTTCATTATTATCACCAAAATCTGATAGAAAAATATTAAAATCAAAATCAGAAAATCGTATGTCTGCTTACAGCGATTCAAGCAGTGGAATTGGTTCATTAAATAGTCAATCATCATCACTAAAAAGCAGAGAAGAAATAAAAGTTCTAAATGATGAAAAAAATATACCACAAGTATCATCAAAATCAAAGTTTTGGCTATTTAGGTAATTTTTTTGTTTCTAGATAATTATTTTGATGTATTTTTTAAAAATTACATAAATAGTAATAATTTAAATAATCTTAACACTTAACTAAATGAATTAATAAAAAATGATAATATTCTTTTTTTTAATCAATTTTTTTTATTTTATTATTTTATTTATTTAGTCGCTCATTCAAAAAAACTGCTAAAGTTTCTGGATATTCAAGTGATGGTAATGTTACATATTCATCTTATTTTTCTTCACGAAGCAAAAGGTTTTTTGGATCAAGATCAAGTAAGTTTATTTTAAACATATTAAAATAACAAATTAATTTCATGTAACTATAATAAATCTTTGAGATCAGCAATCATTGAAATTTTTTATACTGTTTTTAAAATTCAATTTGTTAAGTTTTTCTGTAACTTATTTATTTACAAAGAGTATATATATTTTTTAGTTTATGAATTATTAGTTGTATTTTTTAGTTAATCAATTATTAATTTGTAAAATTGTTAATATTTTTTGTCGCTATGATTGGTTGAAATTTAGACAATTTTAAATTTTTCTCAAAAACTATTTGATCTCCTTTATCATCTCTGTAATTTTATTTTATGTCACTTTTTTGTTGTTGCATTTATTAATAATTTTGGAATATTTTAGCACTTCTTTCACATTTGTCTTTTATCTTCAGTATTTTCTTCTCAATTTTAAAGTAAGATTCAATAACTTGCTGCTCAGGGCAGTTTGGTAGTTTAGTATTCTTTTATACAACATCAATTTTCTGAAATTGATGCCAGATCTGGCATAAAATAAAATAAAGTTAGTTGCTAGTATTTTTTAAAATAAAGGAAGAAATTGTTTTTTTTTAAATTCAGTCTCATAGATCTGGTGTCAAAGTTTGATTTGTTATAAAGGGAAATATTTAAAACCAAAACTAGAAATAGCTGGCCACACAAAGAACTTGAAAGATTTCAACTTGAATTTACCTGTCAAGTTCAAGTAAATTTTTATCTTGGTGATTTTATCTTGGTCTAACTTCCTTGATTTCTCACAAGATGTGTTTGCTAAAAAATGAAAAACGAAAGATGTACTGCATTTAAACTTTGATGCTAAATCTGGTGACTGATGAATTGAGTTGACTATTAGTGTTCTTTTTGTCGAAGTTTTGGTTTTTCACCTCTTCTGTTTTTTTGTTTTTTTGTTTGTAGTTTCATTCTCCTTATAACATTTTTGTTTGTAGTTTCATTCATAACATTTTATGACAATTTCAGCAGTTGATTTTGGATTTTTGAGATTTTGATTTGATTTTGGAACTTTTTGTATGTAAAATGTCAATGTTTTTTTGTTTTTTTAATTTATTCTTTACTTAGCATTGCAAAAACAAATTTTGTTACACAGCTATACACACATTAACTAAGCACATTTTTTTTTAAATTGAGTAGTTTTTGAGAAAATTAAATTTAAAATTATCTGAATTTAAATTTAAAATTATCTGAACCAATCATGGTGATAGTAGAATTTGTTAATAACTTATTTAAAATAACTGAAAAATAATTTCAAAACAATTTCCAGGTTTTGCAGCGACACATTTTATAGTTTTTTTTTCTACTAGAAGTAAGCCACAATGAAAGCGGAGATGGAGGTCATAGCAGTGGTTATGATACATCCATAACTGATGGGGGAACAACTAGTTGTGCAGAAGATCTAACTGACAATGAAGGTAATGGGGCTAAAAAAAAAAAAAGGTTTTTGGGATTTCGTCGAAGATCAGTTAACAGTTCAAATGTTCGAATTAAGAAGCCACTGTGGCTTCCGAATAGGCATTGTCAATCAGATGATGAAGGTATGCAGATTAAAGTGTATGAAATTGATGACCCTCAGAAAATAAATAAAAGACGCTGGAAGTCACAAGGAGGAGAGGTAAGTGTAGTATTTTTTTGTCAAAAATATTATTAAACTTTATTTAAAATATCTATAATACAAATTATATATTTATTAACATTAATAGTTTTAAAAATTTTTTAAATATTTATTAATAGCTTGTTAATCAGAATTTTTTTATATTTAGCTTGTTAATCATTGCAGAATTAATGAACTTGATCAACATCAAAAGCTTCTTAAAAGTGAGAATTTTTTTTTCCTGTTGTTTTATGTAGTAGAGTTAAAGGTATAGTTGGTTGGAACAACTAGAATTTCAATTGTAATTCATCCTCTCTTGATTTTAGTAATAAAAAAGATCTTGATGTCTAAAAAATGTTTTCCACTCACAAAATATTATTATTATTGTAATATTTTAATATAATATTAAAATGTTTTTGACTTCATTTTTTTGTTATAGAAGTCATTATCAGTTGTAGTTTAGTTGCCTTCAATATCAGATGTCCATTCTCTTTTTCTTTTAGTTTTTTTATAACTAAATAACTCATCAGATGTCCATTCTCTTTTTCTTTTAGTTTTTTTAACAGAATAACTGGATTTTAAAAATTGTATTATAAAAGTTATTTCCTCTACTTTCTTTCCAATATTACCAGAAAAATTACTTGGCTAATATTACCAGAAATTCTTAAAATGCCTAATAAATATTGATTTTTAATACAAATTTTATAAGTATAATTACATAATTATTCTACAACAAAAAAGGTCAGAAAGTAGGACTGATGAGGTCAGAAAGTAGTACTGATGAGTTCAGAAAGTAGTACTGATGAGGCCAGAAAGTAGTACTGATGAGGTCAGAAAGTATTTCTGATGAGGTCATAAATTAGCACTGATGAGGTCAGAAGGTAATACTGAGGTAAGAAGGGACTTGTTACATGGTTACAGAGATAACTTTGTGAGCAATTTATGATTTTTGATGTGTAAGTATGATAAGCGTAATCTCAAAGATCGCCAACCAAGTTGTGCAAAAATTAATTATTTAGAATTTTACTACATAGAAAATAACATTTTTAATTTAAAAATAAAAAAGTGCATTTTTTACAAGATTTTTATATATAATTTTTTTTTAATTTATGTTTAATTTTGCTTCTTTTGAGTCCAACATGATATACTTAAAAAAAATATTTTTTTTGGCGAGAAGGTCACACAAATATCAGACTTAAGGTAGCCCCCCTAAATGCAATGTTATTAAATCTTAGCAGAGAGAATTTCACACTTCAGCAAACTAATAAAAAGTTTTAAGAATTGAGATCTTTTTTTAGCATTTCATTGTACCCTAAAATATATGTATACAGGACTGAATTAAAGGCAGGGCCAGCCAGGCCACATCCACATGCACCAAACTTAGAAGGGTACAAAATTCCTGATATTTCAGAAAATCTAATATTTCTGATCAAAATGAATTTTGTTCAGAAATCTCAGATTTTCCACTAATCTCAGTAGAAAACTTCCAACACAGAGATCCAGCAACATGGCCTAAAGTAACAGATAAAATAAGTTGTTCTTTGATTTAGCATGGCTACAGCAAGAAAGGAGAGAATGTTTTTTAAACACACTGTGTGATTTTGACAATGCGACACTTTAACACAAATTTGTATGAAAAAGTTCATTAAGATGGTGATTATATTTGTTTGTTATTGGTTGCTGTACAATAATTTGTTTTTGCTCTTTGTTACTTCAACAGAAAATCAACAAAACTGAAAACTAATCCCAAGAGTTTCTGAACATGAAAACAATAATGAACACCAAAAATGCTAATCTGATTGAAAAACTCTAAAAAAAAGATATTAAAGAAGGAAAGACCATGGATTCTGATTTGCAGAGAGTTATCAATGGAGTGATGAAAAAGTGGTAGAAAAACAGTAGAGAGACATCTTGAAAGTGATTGTTGATGCAATTTTGCTCTGTGCAAAAAACTTGCCTTTCGGGGTACAACAGAGGTCATTGGTCAACAAAACAGAAGAATTTTTCTGAACTTGATTGATTTGATAAGCCATTATTATCCTTTAGTGACTAAATACATTGCATCTGCTAAAGCAAAGAAAACCACAACGCCCTACTTTTCTCCAAAAATTCAATATAAGCAATTTGAGTTACTCAATTCATCCTTTTTCTGTACGAAAAATCATATTATCAATTAACAAAGAAGCTAAATACTACTTTGTTCTGTTTGACTGCACTACAGATGCCTTCCACAAGGAGCAGATGGCCCAAACAAACAGATATGCTCTCATCAATGAAACCTGTACAAATAAGGAAAGCTTTGTGGACTTCATTAAATCTTACCATAAAATCGGATGTCTTGCAACAAAGACCACTGAAAAATTAGTCGACATCTAAAGTTTACAACAATGGAGTCAATATGTCTGGAAAATACAATGGTGCCCAATCTTACATCCATTCCCTTTGTGACTAAGCAAGATTTGTTCCATGTGCAGCTCACACTTTGAATTTTGTTGGTGACCGTGCTGCTGAGGTCTCCCCATTCATGATTAAATTTTTTGGAAAAGTTCAAACATTCTTTATTTTATCTTTTTTTAAAGTTCTACATTTTTTTTTTATAATTAGTTATATGCTCCCAGACGTTCTTACAGTTTTATTACAGAGCACCACGGGATAACATTTAACTATATGTTCACACCTTCTGTACTAATGGCGCTTTTTGGGCTAGAGCCAGTGTTGAACCTTGGATCTCTAAGTTCTGAGCCAGAACTCTAACCGCTGTGCCATGGCTGCTCAAGATGAAAACATCAAGATAGAAAAAACTGATGAAAACATTCACATTCTTATTAAAGGGAAACAGTGCCACATAGTGGTCTGCCAAAAAATAGCTAATCACACCATTGCACAGACAACTCAAAGAAGTTCATAAAATTTTCGAATCCATTTCCGTTTTTTGTTTTTGTTGAGTTTCTTTCTTTAATTTACTGGGAAAATAAACTGCTTCAAAAACATTTCAATAGACATTGACAGCAAAAACGTAATCAAAGGATTTCAGATTTTTCATTCAGAATTTGAGAGATGTTGGAGTGGACAATATCATCATAGATATTACAGAAATAACTAACCAGAATAGAATTGAATGGAGATTTCCAATCAAAAAGAAGCGCAAAATAAAAAGGATGGCACTTTATGAGGTTAAAGACAACTTTTGCTTCCTCACAGCAAAAACAGAATTCGGATCCCAGTTGAACTTTTATTTGACAGCATTATTGCATAAATTAGGTGGCAGTTTAAAGTCAAAAAATATCAGTTGTATCCACCAATTTTGACTTCCTCTGTGAGCATTCATTCTCTAAACATTCAATGGATGAACTTAAGACAAAAGCCAAAAAGTTCTCTAAAATAGACAGATTTAGATTGTTCTCATTTTTAGTTAAAAACAAGTTTTAAATATCAAACTGCTGTAATAATGAAAAACTTTTAAAAATTTAGCCAAACAAATATTTTGCAGCTCATTTATAAATATTCATTGATGCTTTTCCTAACATGGCAATTACTATACGCATCTTCCTCACTATGCCAGTCATCTTGACTATACCAGTCAAATTTGCTATGTGTGAAAGAAATTTCAGTAAACTAGGCTCATAAAAAACTATACAAGATCAACTATGGGCCAAGAACGTTTGTCTAGTCTGGCTATAATTTTAATTAAACATGAAGTGGTCGACACCCTTGATTTTTGTTGACATCATTAGTGAATTTACCTCAAATTAAAAAGAACGTATTTATTAATGATGTCATCAAAATCAATTAAAAAGCCTTAAAAGTGAATTTGAACTGAACTTTGTGCAATATTCATGATAAATTGTACTTTACACTTGATGTGATAAATTTTGTGATCAATAAATTATTTTTTAATTTTAATTTTTTTTAGGGGGAGGGGGTGTGTAGGACGCATTTTCCTTGCTTGCCCGAAGTGCAAAGTTGGCTCAGTACGGCCCTGTATGTATATATATATAATTATGTTTATATATATATATATATACATATATATATATATATATATATATATATATATATATATATATATATATATATACATATATATATATATTCCTATAGTTCGTGGCTAAGAAAACATGTTTGTGGTAAAAAATGGCTCTTTGTTTGTTTGTGGTATTAAAGCTGACAAAAATAAGGTTAGATTATGTCAAAACGCATTAATTTAACTGCAGGAAGTAATTAAACCACAAAAACGTAAATAAAAAGACTAGAATGTTTTTAAAAACAAAAAAAGACTAAATGTTTTTATTATATTTAAAAAAAAAAAAACATTCTGAATGTTTTTATTTTTATTTTTAAATGTAAAACATGCGTGGAGTATTGCTACATCGACTATCTTATAGCCTGACTCCTAATGGAGTGCTGCTACATCGACTGACAAATAGCCTGACTCGCAATGGAGTGCTGCTACATTAACTGAGGATTTGATTGGGGCAGGCAGTCTATCAAATAATATTAAAAAAAATGTTTTTCCAGTCTTTAAATTTAAAAAAAAAACAATACATACAAATTTAAAACAATCAGACTTTCATTGTTTGAATGACGTCATTTAAAGTTCAGGCAATATAATTACAATAATTATTTATAATTAAACGGTTTAAGGGCAACCCATGAGTCCTTAGAAATTGGAGGGGAATTGTATAAACGCCATAACAGGTTCAGGAAAAGATGGAGATTTTCTATCAAACCTGTAATAATTAACCAGGATGCAATTATTCTGGTCTATTTGTATGCTGCTTTGTAATAAATTACCATTTAGGCTCATAACTCTCAAACTACTTGTTCTAACTAATTCAAAGGATTGTTTTACTGTTTCTATTACAAAGGCTCTATTTAAAGTTAATAACATAAAAAGAATTGTAAAACTTTGAACCTATATAAAAGCTGGAACCTTTGATTGAATATCCTGAAAAAAATCCCAAAATAATGTTGACAGATGCAATGCTTTGTTATAAGTTGGTAAAACATTTATCTACAGACCAAATTGACATAAATCTTTCTAAAGTAAAGTGTAAATATATTTGCCATAGCAGATAACTTGCCGCAACAGATGGATTGCCACAGCAGAAGCTTTGTTTTTTTCTATATGAGTGATCACACGTTTACTGGTGATTTTTTTAAAAGTTATGATGTTTATATATAAAAGTGTTTTTCAAAAAACAGAGCAATAATAAATTAGTAAAAACACTCATCTAATTTCAGTCTTCAACAACTTGTTTTACCATTAGTAGATTCATCAGGAAGCCTTGATGAGGCTTCCTGATGAACATATATATATTATATATATATATATATATATATATATATATATATATATATATATATATATATATATATATATATATATATATATATATATATATATATATATATATATATATATATATATATATGTATATATATATATATATATATATATATATATATATATATTATATGTACCAATATAGATATATATATACCAATGTATATATATATATTGGTATATATGTATATATATACCAATATATATATATATATGTATATATATATATATATACATATATAATATATATATATATATATATATATATATATATATATATATATATATATATTATATATACCCAGGGCCGGTGCAAAGGGGTTATGACACCCTAGGCAAAACTTCAAAGGTCGCACCCCTTTTACGTAAAAAAATCAAAATAAAATGCAAAATAAAGTGAAAACACCAGGTAAGAATTTATTTATTTAAAAATATCAAAACTGTACTTTGCGTGCCTTTTTCTGGGCAAAATCGATCACAAGGTCCTTCAGGTCCAGCTTGTCTGCAAGTTCGTGCTCAATGGAAAGAGTTGCCAACCCAACCAACCTGTCTTGGCACATGGATGATCGAATGTATGTCTTTATCAATTTTAGTTTGGAAAAACTACGCTCTCCACTAGCGACAGAAACAGGTAATGTCAGCAAAATACGAAGAGCAGTACAAAGGTTGGGTAGACTGTCTTCCAAGTTTTGGCAAAGAATAAATCAAAAAACATCTTGAGGAGACTTTGTTTCTTCAGAAAGTCGTCGTGCAATAGACTGTAGTTCGCCACACAAATCTGATGCAACTAAATCTCTGTTATCACCATGTTGTAAAGCAGATTCTAGTTTCATGCAACATTCCAATATTTCTTGTGAAGTTTTACTCTGTAGACCATGAATATGATATAAGAAACCAAATACAGATTCAATTGTTCTCATTTGTTCAAACCTTTCTTTAACCGACCTTATTGCTGTGTCAAGTATAGCAAAGAAAAAATTCACTTTGAAATTTTGTTTTGGATCTTGCACAGGCTCATCTTCAGCTTCATATGCAAATTGCTTTTTTCTCCGCCGTAATCCTGGTTCTGCCTCAAAGGTTGGTGGTATCTCCAAATCCTTAGCAATTTCAGCAGCATCCACTAGCATTCTT